AGAGAGAGAGAGAGAGAGAGAGAGAGAGAGAGAGAGAGAGAGAGAGAGAGAGAGAGAGAGAGAGAGAGTTGTGCTACCGGAGTACCTGCTGGCATCAGTCCAGTGAAAAGGGCACTGTTGGCCAGCTCCAAGGCGAAAAAATGTGTCGGTGCCTTGCTGCTTGTACAACACATCCACTGATAGCGTGTTCGCAAAGACAAACCTACCGCACAACGCCCACAACGAACAATTGTCATGTTCATGTATTTGAAGCAGCCCTGACAATTCAACAATTGATTCCCAAAGCAAATAAACAGACAGGGAAGCAACATGATTGAAAGTCAAACTTTTTATTTGTTTGGCTTTAGCCATATATCGTCACAATATATATTTCTTTTTTAATTTAAGACGAAGCCTACGACCGGACTTGAACCGGAGGCCTTTCCCTTACCAAGGGAATGCTCTACCACCTGAGCTACATGGGCTCACGGGGAAATTGGAGACGATCGGACAAGGTCATAGAATGCATAGAAGTTAGAACACATAGGAAAGAAAAGCAGCAAGATTCTACTTCTAACAGTGAAAACACCAACCTAATGCTTAACCCACACCCTGTCCAGTGCACTTCTGTTCCGGCGGCTTTGGGAGGAATGAGTTTTACAGCTGAAGTACTGGTCCCAGGATGTCGTATCATTCAACCTTTTTTTTTTCTTTTCTTGTTTTATTCCGTGTTATCCGAAAACCTGGGGGGTTTGACAGATAAAAGAAGAAAAGTGAATCTGACTTACCTGAATGGTAAAATTTGCGGACAAAGAAACTGACGTATGCATTGCATGACAGACGTGTCGGCTCACCTGGGTCGAAAGGTTATCGTCTTCGTCCTCTGCTCACAGGGCCCCCGGGTACTCCCTGCAGCCACTGCTAGTATGTAGAGCCCATTAGATCCCTTTCTGCAAATGGTGACAACACTGACACCTCCAAACGGTTCTAGAGTGAAAGGTTCTGACCAAAGAGAACCAGCATCGGTACGGTCCTTCGCTTTCCCGGGGCCACCACGAGCTGACCGGAATTGCGCACCCAGCCCCAGACCAACACCGGTGCCCGCTCCTCCTCCAGAGGCAAGTACACGCACCCGGATCTTCAGTTCCTGGGGCCCAGTTCTTCCATATATCCATGGCTGCACACAGAGGGCACCCCCTATCAACGACTTTTCCGTCCTGCTCCTCCTCCTAATCCTCGTCACTGCGTCTTTCACCAAACCAGTTGCTGGTGTCGCAATCGATTCTATACTGGAATCTGGGCTTCCCATGACACTATTCCTGCTCTCCGCCACACTGCTGTTCCCTCCTGTAATTCCAAAGCTTGAACTGACAGCGAGACCGACTGCTTCCTTTCCCGTTACACCAGATCCTCTGGTTCTTGGCCAAGCTAAATGACTGGTACTCGCAATGCTTGCCCCAGACCACAACCTTGACTGCGGCCAGCCTTTCAGATTAACCCCACCTGTGCTGCCTTGGCTATGGGGAAGAACTTGTCGTCGGACTCCCCCTGCTGCCTGTCGATTTCTTTCCCTTGCAGAATCTGTCACATCGGACCAAGCTTCTGTCTTCTCTTTGCTCTCGTCTGAAAGATATCGCTGAAGCAGGAACTCCTTTTGGTTATTCTTTGGCTTCTGCTGGTGGTGGTAGCTGGTGCTGGCTGGTGTCTGTCGGCTGCTTCTTCGGTAGTAGCATGCATCCGATTGGGGTACGACTTGCAACGGAGGCAGGTAATGCTCCTTTTCTCCCTTCGGTTCTGCATCTCCATCAATTACTGCCAAACTCAATCTAGTGCAATTGTAAATCCAGTAACGGCAGACCACAGAGATCCGCCGTGACCCACAGTTCATGTCCACCCACTTCTCCAGCTCCAGAGAAACAATAGCTCCTGTACCGAAAGCAAAGCAAAGCGGCATGACATTTATACACAGCAATGTTTTTTCCTTTTCTTTTTTTTATAGCATTTGTAATTTTGGCATTATTTTGCACTATTTGATAACTTCGTAGCTCAATGCTCATCTTCCAGGTATTCAATAACAAGGGGAGGGCCTTGCAGCACCTTTCCCCCTGTCCTTCCTATCCTTAAGTTCCAATTTTTTTTTTCTGTCCCCCCCTTCCCCTCCCCCCCCCTC